TGTCAAGAACAGGTAGCCACTTATGGTAGCATCTGCAGGTTGATGATTTCCTGCTGTTTCACTTGATATCTCAATCTTTGATGGATTTCAACTCTTCTCGAGGTTGACCAGCGAAGAAGAGGCATCGGGTGCTATACTATACAGCTACAAGCACAGCATCAATGGCTTTGCTGCATTGCTCACCGAGGAGGAAGCAACAAAGCTGTCCCGTAAGTAGGAGCCGACGAGTACAGTAATCTATTTTCCTTTCATCCTTCGTTCGTTTTCTTTGTCTCTCACCATCACCGTGTTCATCAGAGATGGATGAAGTGGTCTCTGCCTTCCCAAGTGAAGGAAGGTCGTCTCCACATACGACGAGGTCATGGAAGTTCATAACGCAGGAAGAAGGATCGAAGGGTTCGGAGAAGAACTTAATAGCCTCGAAAGCAAAGTGCGGGAAGAATGTGATCGTCGGCATGTTGGATTCCGGTTTGCTTTCTTACTTTCTCGTCATATGGAACACAAATTTTGCTTGCTTATATGATGGAAGTCAATAATGCGTTCATGTTGGGTTCGGATGGCTTAACTGCGTGTCCGATGAGATGGTAACGATCTCAATGGAAAGATCTGCTTGGTTTGGTAGGGATATGGCCGGAGTCCCAAAGTTTCAGTGACAGAGGGATAAGACATTTCCCCAAACGGTGGAAGGGCATCTGTCAAGAAGGAGATGCCTTCAACTCTTCCCATTGCAACAAGTGAGTTCTTTCATCTCTCTCTCTCTCTCTCTCTCTCTCTCTCTCTCTCTCTCTCTCTCTCTCTTTCTGGAGATGAGTTTTGACTTTGCCTGTCAATATTTCCGCTTAAAAGAAGCATAAAATGCCTACGATCATTTAGTCGTCATCTTCTTTCTGAATTCATGTACACCATAATGCGTGTCATGATCTTTACTGTTGCATATCGTTAATGGCAGCAAAATAATCGGAGCTCGGTACTACGTGAAGTCCTATGAGTACTACTACGGACCTCTGAACAGAACCTATGCCTACCGCTCCCCACGAGACAACGACGGCCACGGCACGCACACCGCCTCCACAGTCGCCGGACGGGTGGTCCGCAACGTCTCCGCCCTCGGCGGTTTCGCTTGGGGAACGGCCACCGGCGGCGCCCCGCTCGCCCGCCTCGCCATCTACAAAGTCTGCTGGCCCATCCCCGGGCCCAACCCCAACATCGAGAACACCTGCTTCGACGCCGACATGCTCGCGGCCTTCGACGACGCCATCGCCGACGGCGTCCACGTGATCAGCATGTCGATCGGTGCGACCGGAGAGCCGCCCGAGTACTCGCAGGACAGCATGGCCATCGGCGCGCTGCACGCGGCGAAGCGTGATATCGTCGTGGTATGCAGCGCCGGTAACGATGGCCCGGGGCCGGCCACCGTGACGAACCTTGCGCCATGGACGATCACCGTCGGCGCTAGCAGCATCGACCGCGCTTTCGATTCGCTGGTGCTACTCGGGAACGGAGTGACCATCAAGGTATACAGCTCATACACGCCTGCTACCAATCCAGAGCGACATAGATCGAGATCTCACTCTGCTTATAAACTTGCGTCAGGGCCAAACCGTGACGCCGTATGTGCTAAATAGCTCGGACTTCTACCCCTTAGTTTATGCCCGCGATGCTGTACTTCCTGGCACTCCGAGCAATATTTCTGGGTACGTCTTTTGCTTCCTTGCAGAGCTATGTGTTAGCTTCTATACTGAATTTATTCTTGACATCGAACAGGCAATGTTTACCCAATTCTCTTGATGGCGATAAGGTGAGAGGAAAGGTAGTATTGTGCTTGAGAGGGAGCGGGTCAAGGGTGGCCAAAGGATTGGAGGTGAAGCGGGCGGGTGGCGCGGCCATCATACTGGGGAATGCGGTCGCCAATGGCAACGAGATCCCTGTGGACGCCCACGTCCTCCCGGGGACCGCTGTGTCATCCGACGACGCAATAGCCATCCTTAAGTACATCGACGCAACCCGCAGGCCGAGAGCAAAGGTAGGCTCGGCTAGGACCGTTTTGAGCGTCACGCCGGCGCCCGCCATGGCCGCCTTCTCGTCCCGCGGTCCGAATCGAGTCGAGCCCAACATTCTCAAGGTAATTTCGATTGAGCTCGAGATGTTATGATCGAGGGCAACGATTAAAGCTTTGCGACTCGCGCAGCCCGACATCACGGCGCCGGGGTTGAACATCCTGGCTGCATGGAGTGAGTCGTCGTCGCCCACCAAGCTCGAGGACGATCACCGTCGCGTCAAGTATGATCTTTCCTCGGGGACGTCGATGTCGTGTCCCCATGTGTCGGCCGTGGCGGCCCTGATCAAGTCCCTGCACCCCGATTGGAGTTCGGCGGCCATTAGATCGGCCATGATGACCACTGGTACACGCGCATGCGATCTCGTTCTTCCTGTCTTCTCATTTAAGCCATCGGCTTTCCTTCTTCGCAGCCACTGTGGAGAACGCCCGAGGAGAGGCGCTGACGGATGCATCAGGGCGAGTTGCGGGGCCGATGGACTACGGTTCGGGTCACATCCGACCCACCCATGCGTCGGACCCGGGCCTCGTCTACGACGCCGGCTACGAAGACTACCTTCTCTTTGCATGCTCCAGCATCGGTGCACAGATGGACCCCTCCTTCCCCTGCCCTGAGACCCCGCCACCTACTTCCGATCTCAACTATCCGTCGATCGCCGTCTCCAATCTCAACGGCTCCGTCACCGTCCGTAGAACCGTGACCAATGTGGGCCGAGGCTCGGCCCGGTACCGAGTAACCGCCACCGAGCCGACCGGTGTCTCGGTCCACATCTCACCACAAAAATTGAGGTTCAAGAGATCGGGTGAGAGGAGGCGCTTCTCGGTGACGCTCAAGGTGCGAGGGAGGAGGGACAAACCAAGCGGAGACTACGTAGCTGGTTCGTATACGTGGTCCGACGGGACCCACGTCGTCCGAAGCCCAATCGTGGTGTCCCTTGCTTGATCGTTCTTCGCTGCAGCTGTTCGTGATGGATTGGTGTCACGTACACGGAGATCTCTCTTGAACTCGATAATGACTTGCAAATGTCCCTTTTCAACTTTTAACATTAATGCTGAAGTCAATTCGACGTAGTCGTGTTAGATTTTGGTATGATCAACAATCATGAGAGGAAACGAAACCATTGGATTGGCAGAATCTAAGCAGCTTATCCACATGGAAAAGAAAGAGGATATGGTCTCACCTCATCTCAGGACGGTCAGCGAAGTTCATAACTATCCCTTTCTTTCTATCTTTCTCTGTGTCTCTCTTTCTCCTTGTTTTTCTTTCTTCAGTAATAAAGTCCAAAACCAGCTGTGGTTATCCTCATAAAAGGTGTTGAAAATGACGGAATAGCATTATGGTTTCGTCAACGACCGGTTTCCCTTATTGTACATGCATGTTTATCTTCTTGTAATCTTCTCTGCTGTTGGAGCAGTACTCCTGCAAGTATCAGATCGCTCGATGAGATGCGACATCAGAATATTCATTGAAATCGTTGCACCAAGTTCATGTACTCTCTCTCTGATACTTCATAAGAATATATGCATAATAAAAAGGCATTATGTGTACATTTAATTTAAGATGATTACCCTAAAAGACAATTTTGTTCCAGAAAACAAAGAAGCAGTAGAATACAAATTTAAAGAACATCGAATGCATATTGACTAATGTGTCTCCAAAAAGTCAAACGAAATGACTTACCTGTGTCTTATTATGACTTTTCCCTTAGCATCAGCTTGATGCTAGACGTGTCCTTTTCCCCCGAGGAGTGGCTTGTAGAGAAATGGAACGCTTGATTGAAGATGGACAAACCCTAAATAACTTGTCCGACAATCGATCGACAATGACGGAACGTCCATGAATTAAGTAGGGCTGATCACACTGTTTCCACCTATTTATGAGTCGGGTTGAAGGTATCACCATCTGCTACTACAAAAATCTCTCTCTAGAAGTCAAAAGATGCAATCGTCTTTGTGATCCAAAACCGAGAATGTCGTAGTACATGCCAAGTTATTCCCTCCCTCCAGAACTCAATGATTGTGAACGAGGTCTCTTTCCTTGTAAGCTTAATGGCGTGTGCGTGCAGGCATGCAGTATCTCGAATGTCAAGACCTTGCTCGAGGGAATGACGAGGAGACAAGAAACAGACAGCTGGCGTTTTGCAGGCTACAGACTGCCACCGTGCAAGGTTTCATCGACGGGCTTCATGGAGGCGTTCAGAGAGGGAAAAGAACTGCGACTTGCCGTTGCTTGCATTGCTAGATGTGAGATCAAACAGGCCATGGTGGGGAGTGAGGGAAACGCGGATCAAGATTCCTTGTCCCCCACACCTGAGAGATTTCTTCATGCACACAAGCGCTCATCCAGTTGCAATTGGAAGCAAAAGAGAGAAAAATAATCTCACAACAAATATTAAAGTAATTAGCGGTCAGCTGCTGATTCTTGATGTTCATATAATTGCAGAAGAGTTCATGCTGGTCTACCTTGAAATGCAAGCTCTCGGCTTATATTGTGACGGGAGGTCGTGGCCGGTAGATCACCTGCTATTTTGTACGCTTTCTTCTGTAGAAAGAAGACTTGTTCTTTTTGGCATCCAAAAGTATGCCTCGGAATTGGAGTGTAGTGATATAAACAAAACCACCGGGCGTCATCATCATCCGGATCGACGAGTTCAGCTGAACGTGGTTTTCAACCTAATTCCATGACGGCCACCAAACCTAATCCACACCCACGTACATTGAAGCCATGACTTCAAGTTCGCACATCATGCCAAGCCAATAATAGCAGCTTTCTTTGTCGAAGACGTCCAATGGTAAGATTCCTAGCGAGTTCAACAATTTTAACGTGGTGGTGGGTCCGCATGGTCTAGCTGGAGCCACGCGGCAGTGCACCAGCTGCGGACTCCCTACGCTAAATCCTTCCCTCTTTCTATAAGAGAGTCTCTGCAGCTTCGTCTCCCAAGAATTCACCGATAGAGCGGATGGAAGAATTCCAAGAGGCTGATGTATTGTGGCCCGACCGCGATCGAGACGGAGACGAGGATACCGAGGAGTGGCACGCCGGACTCGGAGCTCACCGGAAGGCGTCCAGCCCCGTCAGGATCCCTTCCAGGCCTCGAGCTGTTCGTTCTTGGACGCCGGGCTTCGCCTACGCTGCAAACTGTGACGACGACGACGACGATAGTGATGATAACGAGGGCGGCAGGAAGAGCGATACGATTCCGCCACACCTCATTGTGGCCCGGAGGGTTGCGGATAAGATGGCCTTCTCGATGTGCGTCGGCATCGGCAGGACGCTCAAGGGACGGGATCTCAGCCAAGTCCGGAACTCCATCCTGCGGATGACTGGATTCCTGGAGAGATGATACATGTCTGATCAAGAAGCTCTTTTTTCCTCCCTTCTTTCTGTGATTACACCGAGCCGAGCTTGTTCTTCCTAGGATTTGTTTATTACTTCAAAATTGTTTAGATATATTATAACCCTCAGAAAAAGCCAGAGAGAGAGAGAGAGAGAGTTGACTTTGAGGATTGTCATGCAGAAACGTGAGCAACTGCAACATGAGATTTTGACACGAAACCACGTATGTTGTTCATAGTCCACAAGATTGTGTGCCGGATTGCAGGTGATGCGTCTTTTGAAAGAAAACTCTGATCAGGTGCTCTTGCATTATATGTGAAAACTTTGGAGGATGGACGTACTGATGCGAGCATGCGGTTCATGAGTTCTAAAGCTAACGATCGCGTCCACCAAGTAAATTATCTTCGTTCACAAACAATGGACTCGTTTACCGCACGCGACAGATGAATCGAAGTCATCGGCAAACTTAAGAAACCACTGCAAACGCTGCGTCGGCACCACACGGGTCGAGTAATACGTCATCTGCTAAACTCAGCTCCAGGTCACAGTTATGGATATTGTCGTGATCTAAAAGAGTTTAATATTTTGGTCACATGTTTATTCGTCTAAATCTTATCAGGGAAGCCTACGGCTTCCGGTTTGGGTGTCGTGGACATGATGAAATCTAGACCGAGTCAAAGAATCTAACAGCGATGATGCAGCAGTAATAATTTGCTAATGAATCAGATAAGTTTCAGAATGCGGACTGAGACAAAGCTAAGATGCCATATGGTATACTCTTCTCTAAGCAGTTTCGAATATCCTTCACAAGGTTTGACTTCATACAATCTCTTTTCCCCCATGGGATTCGGCTGTAACGTTACTTGTTCCGTATGGAAGTAATTGCTCAGCCTGACTTGTTGATCTACATGCAGTCACAATACGAGTTCGTAGTTTGAACGTTTCTACCAATCTACTCCTCAAATGCTAAAAGAAACAGATAATCCAAACTCATAATTCATGCAGAAATCAGAGACCACTAAGATTCTGTGGGGACGGCCCGAAGCATCTCAAAATTAGCGGATAAGGTGTTGACGGAAGCTGAAGGAACAAAGGCATCATCGAAAGTCTTCGTGAAGACTTTGAGGGAAATGGATACGAAAAGTCTTGTGTATTGTTCTGCCCTACTAGATTTTTCCTGCATTGTTTTATGGTGTCGATCCGGTTCGATTCCGGTTCAGTCTTAAGAACATCGATTGTACGATCTGACTCGTGGAATTGAATGCGTGACACAACAAGGACCGTTCATTATTACTTGATACGGTGGGCACCGCTTGGCTTCAATTGACAAGCCCAAGTGCGTACTCGTAGATCACACAGGACGCTGACCGGATTTATATGGTCAAACTTTAGCCATCACAAATAGTTGCACTTAATAATAAGTAGAGATTAACTCCGTTAAGAAACACAGGCATGACATGGAAAACCTGAAGAACTCATAACCAAAGATTACTGCAACGAACGAGAAAGACGAAAATTGCAGGCGCACATGAAAGAACGAGGAAGATGACTAACTAGTACACAAATGAGACCATGGAACGTGATGCGAGTAGTCTAATGGTGCTTGAGGTGGCCCTTGTTGGCCTTCTTGAAGAGCTCGGCTTGGGCGGCGGCGCCCTCGTCTGAGACAACCGCGGCGTTGACTGCATCCCTCACTTGCTGCGTGGTGAAGAAGAAGTCTCTGTCCACCAGCGAGTTGAGGAACGACGCCGTCCCCTCTCGGTACAGAGCTCCGATCCCGTCGGAGCGTGCGTCCGACATTGCCTCCACTAAACTGGGGTTGCTCCCGAAGAATGAGGCGGCCGGCATGCCGAAGATTTGGCTGAGAGGGCACCAGAACCCGAGCAAAGCCCAGATCGCTGTAGGATGAGTTCTCCAGTAGCTGCACAGCAGGATGAGACAACATGACGGAAGAAGTCCGAGAGTCAAATGTGTGCTAAAGCGACTAGGGTGAGGTATCGACGGCATACTCGCAAGAGAAGGGTGGGGTGTTGGGATCGGGGTCCATGGGCGTCGCCGGAGGAGTGGGGATCACTTGGTATGGCGGTGCAGGCGGGGCGAGAGGCACCGGAGGAGAGAGAGGGGTGGTGATGGCCGGTGTGGAAGGTGGGTTGTAGTGACCACCACCACCACCACCACCACCACCACCAGGAGACGGAGGCAGTGGCGTACCATGCGTCGACGGCGGCGAACCATGCGTCGACGGCGGCGTCGTGCATGGAGTCCCATTCGAATCTGCACCACGCAAATCAACAAGCGTTTGATGTAGTATGCAAGACATAGCTTCCATGGATTCGTACAACATGCGAAAGAGACGCTTACTCCCTCCGTGAGGGTCAGGAGGGTAGTAGTTCTTCTCGTCAGCTGTGCCACCTTCGAGGCTCCTACTCATTGCCGGAGTGATGACAGCTTGCTGAGAAACATACCATATCAATAGAAACCACATCACAAGAGCCTTCATTTTCTTCTCGCTCCCCATGCTCCCCATGCTCTACTGAACCCAGCTCCAATGAAATCACAGTGGCGAGTAGGAGGAGGCTCGAGTGCCCATTTATACACAGGAGAATGTAGCATCGCCTATGGAAATGAATACAGTCAGATGAGAATAGTGGATAGTTGGTGCAGTGCAGCAGAGTGCATTTAAGCACCCAAACACATTGTTTCGAACAGGATTTGGCTTGGGAACATCTTCTCTTACAAAGACATTGCTACATTTATACCCAACTTTCGATGGCGAACAGAAGGCCGTGTGGCCATTTAATTTCGGTGTCTGTGTCACCGTATGCGCCATCAACCGGGAGTTAATGAAGACAGCGTGACGCCTCCTTAAATGTTTGAATTATGAAGTCACCTACCTATGTTGCCTCTTGGTGGTGTCGTCTCAGCTTTCTTGTATCAGATCTTGGACTACAGGAGCAGAAAGAGAGGGGTCTTCTTCCCTGCATAAGTTCTCATTTCCATCATCCAAAACTTACTGGATTTACCCTTAAAACTCTCACAGCCTTTCTCTGAGAACAGAAGCTTAAGGATACTCCTTGTGCCGCTGATGATCAACCTGTAGCACTGTGGTTATGGATAGACTATAGGACATGCCAGCTTTAATTCGCAGTAGCAGATAAATGTGCAGTCAGAGTACTAATAATTTACTTCTCTGTCAGATCTAATGAACTCCGAATTAATAGGGACTGGTATCTCCTTAATTTGTTTTCAGGAAACTCCTACTTGAATCAAATCACGAAGGTCAGAATATCAGAGAAGAAAGAACGAACTGTTTTTAATATAAATACTTCATCACATCAATCCATCTCTCTTAAAAATAGTTGTACGTAACATGTGTGAAACAACTTTGAGCCGTGGCCTCGGGATCGACGTGGCTCGGTTCGGGTCCGGACGACGGGGATCTCCCTGGGGCGTTTCTCGAGTCCGCTGAGACGGTCGGGTGCGGTGTCCGATCGAGACGGTGTAGCCGTCTCCTCCGGGTAGGAACTCCTCGCCCGCGTCTCCGGAGGGGACCTTCGGCTTCGCACTTGCACAAAGGTAGGGTCGAGGCGCTCGGCCCGACCCCTCCGACGATCAAGTTAGCAGATGTGGAGGGGGTTTCAGATGAAAAAGTATTTTTGTGTGTATGTCTCCCTCCCTCTTTCTGATGACCGAGAGGGTATTTATAGGGAAGCTTACTGCTTCCTGAGCTGTCCGCTTACAGGGGGCAGGCTGGTAGCGTCTGACTTTGTATTGACGTGGCGTGAAGAATTGAGCTTTGACAGGATGTTAATGCGCCTTGGTCGGTGTGCCGATCTGCATTGACCAAATGTTGTTGCGTGAGGCGTCAACGTCAGCCGAGTCTTATCATAATTACTATCTTCGTCATCTTTCGTAACTTTGACCTTTATAAATGCTGTACGTACTTCGGTATCTCGTTACTTTAAAGTATATCGATGATTCGTTGTTCTCATCAGTAGAGAGGACGCTCTGCCATGTCAAGCCTATGGATGTTGGGTCGGGTTCGACCATGTTTTTGGGCTAAAATGTCAAATGCGTTGACTTGGACCACTTGGGCCAAAATGTCAAATCATTATGATTCCGTGCTTTCTAATTAAAAACCTTATAAATCGTGCCAAGGAAAGGACATATGTGCAGTCTGCTATGTTTATATCGATACGGTCCTAAATCAATGAAATAACGCCTGCTATGCTCTCACATAAAACCTTGATTATTATTATTATTACAATAAATTCTTGCCTTAAAAATAAATCTTGATTTGCCAGTTACACTGTAAAAAAAGAAAATGCAATTAAATAAGTAGTAAATGTATGCCGGGAAAGAATTATTTCCATGCAAAGGAAATGGACTCGTGTTAGGTTCGGTCATGAGTCCGATTCGAGCTCGAATCGAAGGCACCCAAAGCCTCCACGTGGCCGCCAATGACGCCCTCGCGACGCGCATCACAGAAACGAAACGGAAGCAGTAGCTCAACGGTAACCCTACGATCCATTCCTATTTATGTCTCGACCGCCAGCGCTCTCTGGTGCTATAGCTTCCGATTCCACATCCTAAACCGCTGCTCTCCTTTGTCGTCTTCTTCCGCTTCTTCCTCTCTGTTCCTCTTGGGTGTAACGATTCTTCTGGTCTTTGTTAGGGCAAGGAGAAGGCACGGAGATATGGAGGCTTCTAAAGGCTTCGTTGGTTGGCTCCTCCTAGCTGAGGTTTTGTTGGGGTTGTTGGTGGATTCGACTGGGGCTTACGTCTTCTATGCTGGAGGGAGGGATGGCTGGGTGCTGCATCCTTCTGAGAGTTACCATGATTGGGCCGGGAGGAATAGGTTTCAGGTCAATGACACCATCGGTATGTGCCGATCTATCCATCTGTTATTGTTGTTGATTTATGGCGTCGTCATAGTTTGTTTGTGGGTTTGCCGTTTGGATGGCGGGGCGGTGCTGTGCTGCAGTGTTCAGGTACAAGAAAGGGAGTGACTCGGTTCTGGTGGTGACGAAGCAGGATTATGATCAATGCGACGTGAGCAAACCGATCCAGAAGCTTGATGGAGGCGATTCCGTGTTCAAGATCGATCGGTCGGGACCTTTCTACTTCATCAGCGGCGCGCCAGGAAAGTGCAGCCAGGGCCAGAAGCTGGTGGTGGTCGTCATGGCTGTGAGACAGCCTCCTTCCGAGCCCTCTGTTCCCTCTCCTGCTTCACCACCACACATCCCTCCATCGCCAACTCCGGCCGCTTCTCCTTCCCCTTCCGCTTCATCCCCAAAGCCCAGCACCCGTCCTCCGACCCCGCCGCCATCAGCACACGCCCCTGCTTCACCACCATCCACAGCTCCCGCTGCAGGGTCTCCTCCTCCGACTTCTTCCGAACGCGGTGGGTTCGCTCCGG